TGCTGGAGCAGGGCAGTGGGGGGAGCTCTGTCCTGCAGGGAAGGGCCGACTGGGAAGGGCCGACTGGTGGGGCATCAAGGTGTGCCCGGACTTACCGGGGGTCCCCGGACAGACCCCAGCCGTGTGCGTGGGGGGCACACGGTGCCGACATCCCGGCTGGAAGGGTCTGTCCCCGCCGGCACCGGCGAGTGCCTGGATCCCAGCCCAGGCTGGGGCTCCCAGTGCTTGCAGCTCCAGGGACACCAGGACTCCCAAATCCCTCGGGGCTCCCAGTGCCCGAAGCACCCATCCCAAGCACCCATCCCCACCACCGGCCATGGAGTCCCAGCTGGAGTTTGGAGCTCCAGAGAGTGCACTGAGGGCTCCCAGTGCTCACAGATCTGGGGACATCGGGTCTCCCAAACTCCCCGGGGCTCTTGGTGCTCACAGGTCCATGTGCCCACATGCCACTGCATCTCCCAAAATCAGGGCTCCCAGTGTTCACCAGGGGTCCCAAAACCCAACCCCACCACCAGCCACGGGGATCCAGCTGGAGTTGGGAGCTCTGGAGAGGCTCTGCTGCCTCCTTGGATGCCAGAGCCTGGGAGAGCAGGTCACTTGGGATGTACAGCAGGACCCAGGGCTGGCAGGAGCCCACCTGCATCCCCTCACCCCTCTCTGTGCCCCCCTCCCTCACCTGCACTGCTCATGTGTGCCGAGGTGAACCCGCTGAGCGTGTTGCGCCCGCTGGCATCGGAATAGTGGGGCATGGAATTGATCACGGCCTGCAGGTACTTCTCCTGCTCCAGACTCGTGGAATCCGTCTGGGAGGGACCTGGATGGGGAGACCCCTTAAGTGTGACCACCCCAGAGCCCGGGGGGGCCCCGCAGCCCCCGCGTTCCCGGGGCGGGGGGACGGGCACCTGCGGTCGGGGCGTTCTGGGACTTGAAGAGGCCGACGACGCCCTTGCCGTGGAGCCCCCCCGAGCGGAGCAGCACGGCCTTGGTGCGGGAGTTCCTCCAGCACACCACCGGGAAGCGGTTCTGCCGGTAGCAGC